CCTCTCCCATCCCTGGTAAACAACAAAGATTGTTACATTCTGTGTGTGAACTTTATCATGGGTTTTTACAATAGAGGTCTCATACAATATTTGTCCTTTTGTGATTGACTTATTTCACTCAGCATAATGTCCTCCAGTTTCATCCATGTTATGAGATGCTTCACAGATTCATGTTGTTCTTTCTCGTTGCATAGTACTCCATTGTGTGTATGTACCATAGTTTGTTTATCCATTCATCTGTTGATGGGCATCTAGGTTGTTTCCATCGTTTTGCTGTTGTGAACAATGCTGCCATGAACATAGGTGTGCATATGTAGGGATATTTTTATAAAAAACAATAAATTTCTGCTGAAACCTCAACTGCACAAAAATTTTATAGACAGTCATTTTAGGGTCACCCCTCTGACAGTGTCACCTGGTGCAGTCCACACTCCCACAGCCCCCTAGTGATGCCACTGCCCCCGAAAGATTTTGTATCCCCAGATAACTCATTTTTCTGAAGTGAACCAATTGTCCAGAGCTCATCTGGCTCACACGGAGCCTAGCCCTGGGCCAGGAGCTCCTGGGTTGCAAGAACTCCTGTCTGGCCCATGTCATGCTGCCCTGAAAGACTTGACTGAGGCCAGGAGAGAATGATTTACAGGAGGAGACATGAGCAGATAGCGGCAGTGCTGATTCCTCTCATCCACAACACTTTACCAATTTCAGAGAGCTTTCTGATCCTCTGTCTCATCTCCACGGCGTTGTTTGGTGCTGACCATGAAGCTAAGATCAGGACACTGCTCGGTCCCCACAGGGCAGCGTGTTTCACATCTGGACTATGAACCCTCACATTCATGGTGGCTGTAGTTTCTTGTTCGGGTCTTTTGTCTGCGGAGCCAAGGGAAGCTTCTGTTGCCAGGGGAGATGGGAGCGGACTCTCAGATCTGAGGGAAAGGGGAGGAAGAATGAAGGGAGAGCCCCAGGGGAAGCTCACTTCCAAGTGATTGACTGGGCCCTGTGTTTCCTCCTGCTCTCACTAGATCTAAGTTTGGAATAAAGAAATCTGCTTCTTTGAGAACACTTACCAGTGCTCAGCATGGTTCAGTGATAAAGAGAGGAGAGTCAAAAATGAGTAACTTGGAGCACTTTTAGTGGGGAATTCTCCTAGCATCCCAAACTAAAGTCTGTTCCATTGCCTATTTTGGAAAGTGAAATTTACTTACATATTTCTTTCTCTGGGCAGCCTGCTGCAGCTTCCCATCATCTCAATGATTTCAGGATTTGGAGGAGTTTTGGGATTTCAAGGAATGTGACCTGTGGAGGGTAGGGGTACAGAGGGAGGGGACATTAGGAGGGCAACAACCAATGTTTGTGAGGCTAATCTGTAACCTCACTACCTTGAAATACTTGGATGGAGCCAGAGGTAAACCAGGGCGGAGAAGGGCAGCGGGAGGGACTAAGGGTAGACCTGATGGGTCCCAGAATGTCTTCCAGAAGACTGATGTCTGAGTTCCTTTGAGAGAGCACAGAATTGGATTGTTTTGCTTGAAGTTCCCCCCGCCCTTCACCAACCCCACTGATGTCCAGTCTAGCCTTAGAGACTATTTGCATCACTGACTTCAGTAATACTGAGCCCTCCATTGTATTGAACTTTTGGAAAAGTGCCCAGTTGCCACATCTCTGCTCTGCCCAGAAAAGAATGGGATTTGGGTCACATGCTTTATTGTCACAGATTTGGTATTGTAGAGGTTGAAGCCTCTGCGTGGTGAAAGAGATCCCTCCCCACCAAGTAAGAGCTGACTGGGAGTAGGAGAGGGGAATTTCCTGATTCCCTGTGGCTGTGAATCAGGGCCCCTGGGCTGAACTATACACCCCACTGTCTGAAACTCAGACTCACAGGTGAGTCAGCAATGCCCAACCTGAGCAGGCCAAAGTCGCAGTTTTCTGAGCACATGGAAGAGTTGACTCCTCCAGAGCCCTTGGAGGGTCAGCTCCTGTTATCTCCTTACAAGGTGTTCTAATTCTTCAGACCAAGCCCCTGAAGTGTGTCTCAAACAGAGAAGACTTGAGGTTGCCAATTGCCCAGTCTCATCGCTGGAAGAACCGGGAAGTCCCTTCTGATTTCTACCTTAATTACTCCTGCTTTATCCTCTTTCACTGAATCTAGAGTGACATGAGAGTAGGGACTTTGTTTTGTTCACAGTGCCTAGATCTGGGGTGATTTTTTGTTTGTTTGTTTTTAATAGCAACTAGTGCACCACCATTCAGGATAGACTCTGGCGGAGGTGCTGACAAGGTCTTGGGCCAGGCGTCAACTGTCTAGCTGCTGGATGGATGGTGGGAAAGCAGGGTGTCCTGGGGGGGTTGAGCAGAGGGGTACTGAAACAGTAGCTATTCACTGACATAGAATTATTACAACATGTTAACCACTGGCAGAACTGTCCTGGTGCATGCCAGCTCACCCTCAGTCCTACTTGGAACAGTGCTCGGCACCTAGTGGCCCTCAGAGATGAATGGTTGAATGTGAGCTTGCAGCCTCAGCATGTGCTGGTAAAACTGAGGAACTTCCTTAGTGCTCCTCTGCCCTCTATCAGTGCCCTGCAAACTAACTCTTCTGGCTTACCAGGAGGTTCCTGGACTTGGTGTGTCCTTTGCTTTTTATTCACCTTCAACCAGCCCACCCAGACTTATCTGTTTTACCTTTCTTAAATAAGAGCCTTAAGAAATAACCTTAGCCATGGAAATCTAAGCTGGTGTGAAAGTGAGAACCTGTGTGTGGACCCATACTTGTGTGCCATTGGGCTTTTGGCCCCTCTCAAATGACTCTCTCCCAGTGGTCTTCCCCCATCCCTCACACACACCTGCAGTTGACTGTTGGCCTGGTCTAGGAGCCTAGCCACATGGGAAATGCTGCTTGTCCAGTGAGCTCATCGGCAGTAAAGAGCTGGCTGTACTGATGACATAGCTTTTCCCCTACATGAAGGGAAGAGGGGCCACAGGGCAGTGGTTGAAAACAGAAGCTGGCTGTGTCAGGCCTCGGGGCCTTGCTGCCTGCCTAGACCTGAGCTGCCTATGCCCCAAAGCTGAGCTGTGTCTAAGAATGAAGTCCACATTCTTACCAGTTTAACTCCTCCATGGTCTCTCACTCATTACTTTAAACGCCAAAACCTAAGGGCCCTACTTATGCTCTGTCTCACCTCATTTACTGGGTGGGACACCGCTCATGTAAGCATGTGCTCTATATTGACAAGGGGGTTCACTCCAGTGGGAAGGTTAGGGAATTCATCAAGCACCTGTTAGGGCAGGTACAGGCCTTGTATTTCAGGTAATGACAAGAGATACCATCTTATTCTGTGGGGCAGAATATATCCTATTTTTATCCTTAACAACAACAACAACAAACAAACAAACAAACACAAAAACAAACGTGTTGCCGTCAAGTTAATTCCGACTCATAGCAACCCTGTAGGACAGAGTAGAACTGCCCCATAGGGTTTCCAAGGACCAGCTGGTTGATTCCAACTGCTGACCTTTTAGTTAGCAGCCATAGCTCTTAACCACTGCACCACCAGGGCTCCATTACCCCAATAATAATTGCATGGGCTCATATAGGACTTCCACCACCCGTCTGCCTGTGTGTTGCCCTTGTGCTGGAAGCTACGCCATGGGTATTTCAGATACCATCAGGGTCAGCCACGGTGGACAAGCTTCAGTGGAACCTCCAGACGAAGATAGACTAGGAAGATAGGCCTGGCTATCTACTTCAGAAAATTAGCCAATGAAAAAACCCTATTGATCACAACAGAATATTGTCTGATATAGTGCTGGAAGATGAGCCCCCTAGGTTGGAAGGAACGACACAATGGCCACAATCATGGACTCAAACGTGCCAATGATCATTAAGTTGATGCAGGACTGGGTAACGTTTCGTTATGTTGTACATAGGTTGCTATGAGTCAGAGCTGACTGGACAGCTTCTAACAATCCCCACAACCACTTGTGAAGTAGGTACTATTATTAATCTACAGATAAGGAAATAGAGACCCACAGAACTTCAGAAACTTCCCCAAGTCTATAGTAATTGATGGAGTTGGGTTTTGAACCCCAATAGTTGGCTCCAGAGGCCATTCTTTTAATTATTACACTATGTTGATTAGGAAAGGTAGGGATTATTATTCTCATTGAATAGGTGAGAAAACCGAAACCAAGAAGTTAAGGAATGTACTCCTATGAGTAAGAGGCGGAATTCCTGTCATGGAAGCCATACCATTTCCTCCAGACTGGACCAACTGTCCTGAGTCCTTACCCATGTCCCATTCCACTTAGAGGTTCAGGCCCACAGGTAGTAAAAAAAAAAACAAACCAAACCCGTTGCCATTGAGTCATTCTGACGCACAGCGACTCTATAGGACAGAGTAGAACTGCCTCAGAGGGTTTCCAAAGAGTGGTTGGTGGATTCACCTGCTAACCTTTTGGTTAGCAGCCGAGCTCTTAATCACTGAGCCACCAAGGCTCCTCACAGGTAGTAAGGTCAACCCCAAATCTCAAAATCTTATACGTGCTTGGTTAAGAGCTCAGCTGCTAACCAAAAGGTCGGCAGTTCGAATCCAACAGCCGCTCCTTGGAAACCCTACGGGGAAGTTCTACTCTGTCCTATAGGGTCGCTTTGAGTCGGAATCCACGGGACAGCAACGGGTTTTGTTTTCTTTTTTTTTGGTTTTTGGTCTCCATACCGCAGGGTAATTATGGAGCACGAAAGGAGGGGAGATCCCCTCTTCACTTAGATTTTACCTCCCGGGCCCTTCCAGTTCCCACGACCACCAGCCCTGAGGCTTAAGGGCGAGACCCGACTCTGGGACTTTTCTTCGCCGGGGTTAGAAGTGCGGGAGTAGGATTGGGAAGGAGCGGGGCCCGGCTGGGCCGCCCAGGAACGCAGAGTATCGTATTCCCCGGAACCCACCAATCCCGGCCGCCAGAGGGCGTGGCCACACCTGGGAGGCGGGGCCGGACGACCGAGGGGCTGTGGCGTCTAGAGGCGAAGGCGCTGACGTGAGTTCGGCGCACCTGGGCCGGGCAGGTAAGGGCTGGTGCGCGACTGGGAGTGGATCTCGCAGTTCCTGCCTGCGCAGAGCGGGCGCCCCTCGCCCAAGCCGTCGAGGAACCCGGTGGTGACGCGTGATCCTAGCTGAGACTTGATTCGGAGGGACGTCCACTTCCAGTAGCCGGATTGAGGAAAGGTGAGGACGCCAACTTCTGGAGACTAGCTAGAGGGAGGGGGGAACACGCCCGCGGGTGGGGAAGGGTCCGCTTCAGTGTTTGTGGGGGTGGGAGAGCTTTGCTTGGGGACTCCTGTTTGTTTGGGCTTGTTTGGGGACACCCGCTGGGGCTCGGGGCCTCTCTCTCCGGTCCAGGTAGCTTTGGGGCGATCGTTGCCCTGGAACACTCGGACCCTCCTGGCCCCATACTTGTGCCCACTTCCTTTCCTTCCCCGCAGGCACCAAGTGTGCAGCTCTCAGTCCTCAGGTCCCCCACCTCACTATGGGGTAGAGCAAAAGCCCCCCTTAGTTCTCACCAGCTTGCTTGGCCGCTGGCCCCTGTGCCCAGAGAGGGTACTTTCCCCTCCCGCTTGGTCCTGGTGGGCGTTTTGGGAAGTTGGGAGTGGGGGTGACCAGGAGCTTTGGCCAGTTTGTTTTCTTTCTCCGAGTTTGTTTAGCAGTCAGGCCCCTCGCCCTGGGCCTGGGAAACACCCATGGATTTCTAAGTAGCCAAGCTAGGTGCCGGGAGGGTGGTGCCTGGGCGTGGTTCCTCTGGGGTGAGGCCCTCTTTGCCTGAAGGGGCTGGAGGGTGGGTGTGGAGAAAGTCCCCCAGGTCTGACTGGAAAGGAGGCCTGGGGTGCCACTCTTTACAGTGAGCCTGCTTTATGGTGCGGGGGTCACCGCTGTCCCAACCCTGTTCTCTTGGTGGGTGTCAAGAGCGGCGGCCAGGGAAGGGGGAGGGAGAAGGTGCTTGAGTAGGGATTGGTGAAGGCTGATGCCGACCCAGGAGAGTAGTTTAGGGTTAGATATGTGCATAATGCATGACAGCAGCATTAGTACCCAGGGACTCCCTGTCACTATTCCCCACCTTCTATCCAGCAGTGAGAAAAAGCGTGGGAATGTGGCTAGAAGCCCAGAATTTATCCTAAGAAGGACTACATGGAGGGAAGGTTGGGGGATTTGGAGGGATGCCATTTCACTTCCCTTCAGGAGGAAGGGAAAAAACAGAACTAGCGACTTAGGACTGTCTGCAAGAAATGCAGGTTTGTCTTACTCCAACAAAACCAATGAACTTTGGGGCAGTGGTGCCCCTGGAAACTAGTCCAGGCAGGGGCTGGAGGTGGGGGTGTTTATGGAGAACCTACTCCTTGGAATAGGGGTGTGGGGAGAAGACAGCTAGTTCCCTGGGGAGGTTGAAAGTGCCCCTGCTCTATGCCCAGTATGAGGGGAGCAGCAGAGTTGGCATCTTTGTCCATTGGCTGGTTAAATATTTTTTGGAGACACAGGCCTTGAATTTTGCTGTGATGGCAGCCAGCTATACCAGGCTGAGTTTGCTAGGCTAAGGTTGTTCTTTGGGCATTGGGATTTGGGTGGTGAAGGTGTTTTGAAAGTGGATTCTGATCTAGTTGTGTTTGAGAGTGAGTGTCAGGCAGTCTCTCCCTAATCACTTCCTATGCCCTCCAGGCTATTGGGATCTTTGTTGGTGTTTTGGTCCCCTTAGTGTGAGGATCCAGTAGAAGAAGGGAGGGACTTGGAGAGCAGGGTATAGGATTCAGTACTGAGCACTTTGCTAGCGGGCACTCTGACTTGGGAGTGTTGGGTCCAGGCCACAGGTAAAGCACTTAACTGTTCTGTGCCTCGGTTAATCCAGCTCTAAAATGGAGATAATAATATCACTTCCAGGATTGTGAGGATGAAATTAAACACTTTAAGTAAAAGTGAATTTAAAAACTGCAAACCAAAAAAAAAAAAGTAAAACCTATGCAGATGTTGGTGTTAAATGCCAAGACGGTTCTGACTCAGCAACCCTAAAGAATTATTGTTACCATGTTCTCGTCAGCTCAAGGCCATCATCTTTTAAACCTTCCAGTGGCTAGGAAATGTCTTATCTTCCTGTGGTTAAAAAAGCACTTGTAGAATTTAAAAAAATATTAAGTTGAAACATGCTCAGTGTAGGAAAATGTGCATCATATCTGAAGCATATAGGAGAGAATAAAAAATCACTCAAAATCCTATCACCGGGTAACGATTATGAACATCTTGTTGAATTGGAGTATTTCTTTCCCTTTTTAAAATTTTGTATGATGTGTTACAAAATGGAGATACTGCTGTGCTTTACAGCCAATGTTGTATGGGGGCATTTTCCTCCTTAACTTCGTTTTGTAAACATTCCCCCAAATTCAGTAAAAATTCTTCAGAAACACTGTTGTTAATGGCTGCTTAATATTGCAGTCTGTGAATGTGCCACGATTAACCATTCCTCTCTCGGTCAGTTTGGTTGCTTCCAATTTTTCCCTCTCTCTGTTTTTAGAGGCTAGGTTACTGGTGGCAGGAGGGGGAGGTCTTGGCTGACTTTCAAAAACTGGAGCGGGTTGGCAGTGAGGAAGGTGGGGCATGGAGGAGCAGGCTGGGGTGCCTTCCCATGGGGCTAGGAGGCAAGGTTACTCAGGTGTAGTGCCATCTTGGGAGAACACTGAGAACCAGGGCTCTAGATCTTAATCACTGATCTCTATGGGTGGCTGCTTCTACCTCCCCATCACTATGTACAGCTCCTTGTCTTGGTCAGAGGGTGCCTGAATTTTTTATCCATGGGCTGTGGATCACACAGGATAAGCCCTTTTCTTCAGAGTCTATGATCAGTCATTCCACATACAGATTTCATATGTCTGACAGGCTTAGAAATAGGACTTGCCAATATCGCAACAAAGGAATTTTCAAAAGCCCCTCGCCGGGTTGACCAGTTCACTGCCCACTTCTCTATTCTCTTGGTCTGTCCCTTACCCCAATCTCCTAGTTGTATCTCCAGTAGCGCTGAGACTGGAGAGGAGAAGGTAGAACTTGCCCTCTGTATAAGCTGTAAATGCCCTTCGTGGTTTGATGGTTTGACTTGCCTCCCTACAAAACAACCTAAACCAAAGCCAGGAGCATGAACACCAGGAGGACTTGAACACTACCCGCTGTGAGCTGTGAGTGAGCTGTGCACCCCTGTGGGGAGGTTTCATTTGCCAGACCTGGTAACTGGGTCAGAAAGCTCAGGTGAGAGCAGGCCCTGCCTTGCTCTTAAAGTGCCAGAGGCTGAATTGGGTTTGGGTTTTTCCCACTGGAGTCTGGCTGGGGGACAGGTGGTGTTAGGGGCCACCCCCTCAGCTAAGCTCTTCCAAGTGGGTGCCTTCAGCTCACTCAGCTGGTTTGGTTTCTGAACGAAGATCCAGGTGGGGACCTTTCTGGGCATGATGGTGGCTTATTTATCTTCCTGAGGCTGTTGTGGGGCTTTAGCATTTCCAGTATGGGTATCTTCAGGAAGGAGCCTCTGATGGAAACATGGAGCTTGAGTGTTTAGTACTAACACAGTTGGCACACAGTAGCTGATGAAAAAATATTTGTTGTGTAAATGAATGTTGTTTTTCCAAGCACCCCTCTCTCACTTCAGATAAAAACAAAACAAAAACACCAAAAAGTCCCAACACAGTGGCCCAGGCAAACAATTCTGTGTTGTTGTGTGCAGTCGTCTCTTCTGACTCATAGTGACCCAAAACTGCCCCATAGGATTTCTTACGCTGTTATCTTTAGGGAAGCAGATCGCCAGGTCTTTCTCCCAAGGAGCGGCTGGTGGATTTGAACCACCGACTTTTGGTTAGCAGCTGAGCTGCTTAGCCATTGCACCACCAGGGCTCCTTTGAACAGTTCTCTAGTGACTGGTTTTCCCTTTAGGCACCCAGTATGGGCAGGCCTTTGTTTCCTGCTGTGAGTGCCAGCAGCCATCTGTTATCTGTTAAGCCCGTGTATTTTTATGAGACTCAGTTGCAGACTTTACCCAGGCTGGCTCCTGCAACCAATCTATCCACTCCAGCCTCTGTGGGGAGATAACAGACTCGGGTGAAGAGGTTGTCTTAGCTGCACAGGGCTTGTCTTTTGACTGTTTCTAGTACTGTAGGTTTAGGAACTGTGATGTTTGATTATCTTAGGGCTTCTGAGCTTTGTAGCCTCAGTGGCAGGGAAGTGGTTTCAGAGCCTTTGTCTCCAAAGTTCCCGCACCTTCTACCAGACACTGAATTGCCTCATGAATAACCAGCTGAGACCCCTCTTTCTAGGTGCAGAATCTTTGGGTGGCCAGGAGAAGGGGAAGCCGACCCAAGCCCCCACGCTTCAGCTCCCCGTGGACACACTGCCCGCTCGTCCATGTAAGTGATACTTTGGAACCCAGCACCCGCTCCTCACTTTCTTCTCTCTCACGGGACAAGTGTCATTCTTACTAAAATATTCCTGTTCATCTTTAGTTGTCTTTTTTAAAAAAGACAAGTCACTTCAGCTTCTTGCCCCTGTACTTGCTGTTTCCATAATTTTTTCTTCCCTCTCCTGAGATGAGCTTGAAAAGAGCAATTTCCCTTCTCTTGCAAAGCCCTTGGTACTTCAGGAAGAACTGTGTTCCAGCAGGGATGACATCACCTTTTCATTTTTCTGCTTCAGGATTTAAACAGAAGAAATGTGATCTACCTGCATGATAAGTCCGATTTGGCTAGAGCATGAAGTATAAATGGCTTTGGAATAAGAATCAAAAGAACCTTTCACCTCTTTTCTTTTCTTTCCCATCTGGCATAGTTTATTCCCATATTTAGTTTCTTTGCCGTAATGTAATGAAGCTGTAGCTCTATCACATGGGAACAGTGCCTGGGACAAGTTCCCGGTGGCTGGGCTCATTCTCCCGCTCTCCTCATTCTTTGCCCACCCCCAGATCATGGCCCTCCACCCCC